TGCATAGAATTCCATGTGTTTCTAAGCAAACCTATGTGGTTTTATGTGGATCGACCTACCTAAAAATTTCATGATGTGAGAATATTATTTTGGATAACAAATCAGAAGAGGATTGTGCTCAAGCCCGAAAATGCCTTGATAACTTCCAGGTTATGTTATTGTATATTCATTATTATTATTATTAACAGAGATGGAAACCCTGAGTAGCCGGCTGACTACACCTTGGCCGGTAATAGTGAACTACGTCTTCCCTCAAGGAATAAACTACGCCTTTATTGCCATGTTGCAACTGGGAACTACATCTTTCTGGTTGTTAGACTACGACTTGTTTCATGGCATACATCTCTGGTTATGATGATAGTTTAAGAAGCTTTGGGTTATTTAATTATATTAATATGTTCCTTTATATAGTTTGAGAGATTATCCCGGCTGTCGAAACTTTCTGGCTATCAGACGAAATCCAACTTACAAAGGTGAGTAAATTATTGTCTATATATATTTATTTTAATGAGAACTGGATTAACAGCATTTAATAGTTAAATTATACAAAATCTGCATTGAGTAAAACCATTGACGAAACACAAAAAATACGTGAAGTTGTATCTGTTGAAGTGATAGACACATGATTTGTTATTTTTAGATCCTGGAATGGGCAAGGTTGTGTGGGTATTCAGAAATTGGAATATTAGTTAAATAACCCCTTTAGTCATGAATATTTTGTTTTTTATGCATCTCTTAGTATGGGGAGACTTTTAAAAGGACACACAGAAATCGTAATACCTTTTGATTACAGTGAAATTTTGAATGAAACTGACTTTTTTGAGTCGGATCATGAAGAGAAGGTAATTAGTACCGATGTAAGTGATGGCATATGAATTGATATTAAAAGAAGTCTGTGTAAATTTTAGCAGGAGATCGATAAGAGAAAACAGTATGAATATGATCATGATAGTGATGTAAGTTGATATTTGGATTGATTGATCAACATATGATATATTTTCATGACCAAAGCTATATATTTGTTATTAGTATGAACCAAGCAACGGCTCTTCTATTTCCTCTGATTCGAATAATCAACAAAAAAAGGTAGGCAATACCATTACAAAGAATGATAACATGTAAATCGATATTAAAAGACACTACATGTAATTTTAGCAGAAGATCAATAAAGGAAACAGCAGTGTAAGTAATGTTGGATTTATTTTTAGTTAATATTTTTTCAGAGATATTTGTTAATATATTTTTTTTATCAGTGATTATATTAAATACTAATTTACCACCCGTTTCTCAACCATCACAAATTCAGACCAGTTCCTTAAATTATATATCAAATAACATCACAAGATTTATCAGAGTTGGTAAACCAAGAACAATTACCGACTGTGATAGTTATGAACCCTACCACTCAAATCCTGAGGACTCCATCATCTAATATACAAATTACTCCTAAAAAGCCGGTTCTTTTTAAGGAATCCGTAACTTATATAGAAAATCATATAAAAATGAATGTAAATAATCAAGGAATGATAATAAAAGACAATAATGCATCAGTAGATGTTCCTAGGATAATTCGCAATTGGCTTGTAACAGCATTATCAAGCATATCAGTAAACTTATAATGTCAAAAAAAATATGGATTCGTGAGTAAAATAATATACATACAAATCATAAAGGAAAAACTCGCAAATTTGACGAAAATCATGATCTTTTGGACGCTTAAAGGGGTCATGATAGCTTTTACAAACTCTTCTTTTGTTGACTAGAGTAAAAAATTTTAATAAGTACAATTTACTATTACTAACATCTAAAAGAAATTAATGATAACTTACTGTTATTTTTATATTGATTCAATTAGTTATTTCATGACAAAGGAAGGTCCTTTAAAAAGGAACATTGGTGAACGTACATTTATTGTCAAAAGGATTGTCCCCTGTTCAAAGCAATCCAGCCGGTATATAAAGAATACAAGTTTCATTGAATCGAAGTCGGATTGGATTGCATGAGGGAAGTGAAGAAAATATTCTCGAAATTTGATTTTACCATAAACCAAGCTAAAGACTAGTGCCGTAATCCAAAAAAGGAAAAAGGATGGTTGCAAAAGTGGTCGCAAAGGTAATTGCAACCACTTTTTATATGCTGTAAATACAATTACTACCATCATCACAATTTATGGCACTAGTCTTTAAACCAAGCTGATGGTTTGGGGTATGGAATTCGAGCAACAGGGAGGTTATTTTTATCGAAGTATCGGGTGGACCTGAAAATACAGATCAAAAACATGTGAAGGAAGATTCAGAAAAGAATCTGTATTCGGTCTTGTTTTCCTATTACAAAATTATTTGGACAAAAGCGCGGAAGAATCGAAGCAGTTGTACACGTTCATAATTCAGAGCATCGGTAATTGATTTACTGCACTCTATCAATAATTCATTAATTATTTTTAAACATAAAACTTACATGGAATTGTTAGGTGGCTGGTTAACTTTTAGTAGACTATGCCTTATAAATAAGCATATTTACAAAGTTTCACAGATCAAATCTGCAACATTACCATTCGAATTCATTGATGTAGCGGATTTTTTGGCAATCTTTGAACTTCTTTATATTCTTGTGGTAGGCATTTTCCCTATAAAAAATTGCACACGGAAAAAGTGCGAAAAAAGTGCGGAAAAGATGCGGGAAAAGTGAGTTTAATTTCATTATAAAAAAGATACGGAACCACCCTGTCAAATGCGCCGA